TGCCCTGAATAACTGAATTATCTTTTTAGCTAATAAATCCACATGTCAAATAAATGTGAGGTAAATCATAGAAATTCATCCTCAAAATGATCTTTCTCAAATGACTTACCTAAGGTGTGTGCAATTAGACATCTAGTTCTCCAAAAATATGCCAAGGAGAAGCAAACACAAAGAATATAGAGCTGAGCATGAGTTGCTTCACTCATCACTCTATTTCTAGAAACCCAAGAGTAAATTTCACCCAGGTACTTGAACTCTGAATTATTTCATTGAAGAATGAGAAGTTGCCAATAGCTATGAGAGGAGGACATGCTGAATGACAGGCATGATGACAGAAAAACACCTCTGGAGAGATAAATGATGTGACTTTACAATGTCCATTCCCTGGAAGACTAAATCTAGGGCTAGTTTCAGGATCTGAGGAGAGGAAATGCAGTTGTCCCTTGGCATCCATAGAGGATAGGTTTGAGGATCCCCTGTGGATAATACAATCCATAGATGCTTAAGTCCCTTTTACAAAATAATACAGTATTTCCATATAAACTATCCACATTTTTCTGTGTATTTAAGTCCTCTCTAGATTACTTAAAATGCCTAACACAATGTAAATGCTGTCTAAATAACTGTACTCCATTGCTTAGAGAATAACAACAAGAAAATATCTATACATGTTGAGTGCTATTGAGTGCAGACAAGGTTTTAAAAATGTTTTCAATCCATGAACACAGAGGAATCTAAGTATACCGGGGGCCAGCTGCAGTCTAATTCCTGCACTTGCTAGAACCTTGAGTTCACTTGAAATTACAACCTTTCCTCAATCTTTCCAGCAAACACTTGTTTAGAACTTGCAGGAATAAGTAACACATGAGCTACTTGGACATTGGCCTTGTTTTTTCAGTAGCTCACTGGACAGCTGCATCAGTATTACTATGACCATCTTGATTCATGTGCACAGCCCAAGTACATTAACATGTTTCCATGTACAGACTCAACTGTCTGCTTATATATCTACTCTACCCATACACATCATGCACATCCATGGAAAAATTGTTATATATTATATACATGTGTAGGCATATATCTCAAGGACATAGCTGCATGTATGAAGGACTAGAAATTTGTCTAATAAAATATACCAGGATGTAGCATGTGGTTGACCTTCAAAGTCACTTGATAAATGTATTGAACAGATGGTGCAGTGGATTAGTGACAATTTTCTTTTCTTTTTTTTTTTTTTTTTGTACTGGGTATTGAACTCACAACCTTGCACTTGCCAAGCAGGTGCCACTGAGCTAAAGCCCCAACTCAGTGAGACTGTCTTAAGAAAACCATTTTGAGATGGAAGTGATGGTGCACATCTGTAATCCCAGCACTCTGGGAGGCTGAGGTAGAAGGAGTGAAAATTCAAACCTCTCCTGGGAAGTTTAGTGACTTCAAAATAAGTAACCAAAACTTGAGGATATAGCACAGTACAAAAGCCTGGGTTCAACCCCCAATGCACCCCAAAATATTTATTAAAAGTAGAGAAAATACATGTAGATGGGCGTCTCATGCAAAAGATGGTACTGTATAAATACTATGAAAGATAAAAAATCATGTCAAATTTGACAGATATGAATTACTAATTGATATCTAGGGACAGAGATTTAATTTTAAAGGAATCTAAAGAGCATGCTATCCTATTTTGCTCAGTGAATGAAGAAAATGGCAGTAGAAGAGTTTTGAAGGAAGACAGACTTTCCATGCTCTACTAGGACAGGCTTTAATGCTCATATAAGTGTCTAGTTTCTGTATGAAGCACAGTCCTCTAGTCCCACCAAGTTTACTCCTCCTCTGAAATTATAAACCAAAAAAAATTTTAAATATATATTGTGCTTCAACTGCAATAATGATAAACTACTTGCTTTGAGGTATCATGTTCTTGCATCTGTTATTTAAATAGTCATTTGTTTGCTAAAACATTCAAAATTTATAGTATTTCCTTTGTTCCCTGGGTGAAAATTAAATCATGTAAATATTTTGTTAAAGAAGGAAAATTGCCAAAGAAATGAAATTTCAGTTAAAAGGAAATAAATGAAAAGGCAAAGTATAAAATAATTATTTTAGTGTATCAAAAGAATTGTTTTTATAAGTCTTATAATCAATAACATGAAGATATATTTTTAAATAAAGTAAGTGCATAATTAGAAAATTAGATTATGTATTTAAGTCTAGCAAATTATTTATAAAGTTACCAATCCCATTAAAATGTTCAAATGTCCATGAACAAATGTTTCTAATAATATATAACCTAATTCAAACCCTTCAGGCTGAAAACGTAAAAATATTGATAGATGTGTGATAGGCACTGACAGAAATAGAATGGCTGAGCAAGGAAGCTACAAGATTTGTTTGCATAGATGATAATTCCATAGGAATGGTCAAATTAATAAACTCGTAGTTTGACTAACTGTGTCACATCATGAAGGATAAAACAAAGGGACTTAAAAAGGGTAAATAAGACTATGGGGGGATAGGAATAATGGTCTTCAGTTTCATTTTTAGAAAATCCCAAAGCAACGGAAAGACTTCTACAGCAAGTTGGCATCCTTCATGCTTCCCAGAGTGACTAATCTTGAATGATTTGGCCACAGAGTTTATCTGAAACCCTAATTATACTATATAACTCTGATGACTCTACAGGCCAAGTTTGATTGTCTTTTATTATCAGATAAATATGAAAATGTGTTGGTATATATCATAATACTCAATTGAGATAGATGATGAAAATGAAATCTACTCCTGAATAATAATGTTAGTTAGATCAAATCAGATGATACAGGTTTTAGTAACTTGTGGAAAGGTGACTTCTACTAGTAGAAACAGAATCAACTTGGGATTCAGATGGAATTTTGTTTGTTTCCTCATTTTTTTTTTTTGTACCGGCGATTGGACTCCCAACCTTGAACTTGCCCAGCCCTTGGAATTGTGTTTGAATATCAACTCTCTATTTTCCATGGGGCCAAAGGCAAAGTATTTGCATCATTGTTACCACCACCACCACTAGCTTTCTTTTCCAGGCTTTGTTCTCTCATCTGTAAAGTGATAATCTTTTTCATTCAGAATTTGGGGAAGGGTATGTGGAGGTTGTTATATAAATGGTAACTATATCATCTTTAAGGACACAGTCTGTGGCCTTGGTGAAACTAATCATCACACCTCGCTTATTACCAGTAATTGCCAATATCAATTAACAAGGAAAGTCCCTAGAGGTTAGTAAAAAAATAAAAAATGTACTTTATCTTAGGTAAACACATATAATATGAATGATGATGACACAGTTTCAAGTTACCTTTGTTTGGTATATAATGCATATATAATTTTCAATGCATACTTTGGTTATCATACATGGATTTGGCTTGATAATTCATGATATAGATAAATCAAGCATGGGTAAGTGGAAAATGTTGGTCACTTTTGTACATAAATAAATTTACCTTGCTAAAGATATCTTTTCTCAACTTCATTTAAATAACATGCCTTATTTTTCTGTCTTCAAGTATTTTGACATCATGTCACCATTCAATATGCTCAAATGTTTTGCAAATAAAGCATTTAACGGTGAACTGATAATGGCTTGGCACCTTTTAGGATTTCAGTGCCAAAAATAGATGTGCCCCATTCCTGATTTGAGATATCAGATCTATTTCCTCTTCTTGCAAAGAGTTATAGTCAGATTGAGTACTGTGCTTTGAAGGAATAATATGTCTGGGCAATGGGCTATGAGACATCAATCAGCAGTTCTAGACAATGAAGTAGCTAAGGCTCCTACTCTGAAGTGGCTGAGATTTGCGCACATACCTATTAACACCTAGGATTAGGCTTAATGTTACAGATGCTTTGACCAAAGCATCTTTCTCTCACTGGTGGTCATTATAAGATCTGGAGAAATCACGTCTCTTAAGAGCCTGTGCTGAGCACCTGTAAATGACTAGACACACTACTGAGCAGTATACGATTGTATTAATGTGGGTTTCGGGGTTTCCTGCTCTCCTGGGCTGAGCAAGGACAGGTCCAAACACAGTGCAGAAAGGAAACAGTGGCATAAAGGTATGTACTCCCAGCAGTGTGGAGAAGCTCCAGAATAGAAGCAGGAGGAAGACAAATACGGGTTAATCAGGAGCCACTCCCTGGGAAAGATTGCTCAGGCCCTGGCTGATGCCTGACATTGATTAAGCAATATGCTATCCTACTGTGTAACAAGCGTCCCATCCAAAAAGTCTTCTGTAATATTTAACTGCACTTCCTTCAGCTTCAATTCATGCACATTTCATTTGTTCTTTCTTTAAGAACCCTAGACAGCAGTCAGTAACAATCACTTTATATTTATAAATCTAAAGGGACTTTTTTTTTCCTGTCATGCTTCAATGTTCTCTGGGCTAAGGAAAAACAAACAGTAAAAAATTAATTTAATCATTCCTTAAAAGGCCTATTTAGTTTGACTGCTTAATATATAATAAACTTTGATACTGTGCTTTTAAGTGTTTACTCTTTGGGAAAGAAACCTCATTTTGACAGTGATGTGGAAAGCATTATTTGATTTCCATTGCAAAAAAGAATTTAGATTCAAAACCCCAATCAGAGTCTGTAAAATAAAAGTTAGAGCAAAATAAATATTAAGATTATATTACTGAAGCTAAAACTAGTATTTATATATATAAATCATATTAACAAAGTATACCTCTCATTGCATCATACCTTTTTGAAAAATAGAAAGTTAGTGTCTGTATTTTTGTGTTATAGTATTCTGATATAATTTAAGTAAATTTTTTAAACTTCAGTGTGCCTTACAGAGACCTCTATTTTCTTTTCTCTGCACTAAAAGCTACATTTTTGTGCCCCTCTGTAATGCACAGAAATTGATCTGCAATACATGTGGAGTCTCCAAGGGTATATTTAAATTTAGTAATTTTATTGCTAACTGTGAAGTTAATCTGCACTGTATGGGTTCTTTTCCCCAGGAAACTGAAGTAGCAGTTCAAGCTAAACAACCGGATGTGGAAAAGATTTTGTCTAAAGGGCAGCATTTGTACAAGGAAAAACCAGCCGCTCAGCCAGTGAAGGTAATGAAGCAACCTCTAGCAATATTCATTACTTCATAATGGGTTATGCTTCCCCTGTTGTACATTTGCCATTGACGTGATCTATTTATAATCGATGAAATAACTTGTAAGGAAATATTGGTCATACTGCAATAGCAGAGGCAAGCTGTCTTTTTGATCAACATATCCTATTTATACATTGTGATCTTAAGGCTATTAACAAGTCATTGCATCAGAGGAGTCATTTCTGTCCTGGTGTGCTGCCATCAGTACAAAAAGTAGTCCCACCTTCAAGGTAGATTAAATTCTTTGGGGCTTTATTGCATTGCTTGCCAGCCTTGACGCTTTTCATATTGTTTGGCTTAATTCAAATCAAGCTACTGCATCATACTGTCTGTCTCCAACAGCTGTAAAGAATCACAATATGGTCTGTGACCTTTCCTTTCTCTGTTGCTCTTTCTTATGAAAAAGGAAAACCGTCACTCAGGTTTCAGTATTTTATTGGGTCAAGAAATTTTAGTGAAATGTCATGTAATTGCTTCTATCTTTAGTAAAAAGCTGGCATGAGTGAAAGAATGAGTTCTACTTCTTTCCTTTCTCTGTGTGCATTTTGAAGTCTAGGGCACATTTATTCACAGGCTATTACATGGGAAAAGATGGAAAGCCTGGTTAGTTTTCAAAAAACAGCTAATCAATGGCTTCCATTTGCAAACGAGTGTCCAGTGATAAATAGATGTTAGGCATAGGCATAGGTTACCTTATTCTCTGTACCTGACCAAAATTACAATGGGTCCCATTATGATGAAGGTTCCTGGGAGCCTGTAGATGGTGGCTATTTATTGATCAGTCTTGGTTTCTCAGCTAATGTTGCAGGCTGAGATTTAGTGAACCTCACCCTCATGTTTAAAACTGCTCTAAAACTGTGCAGGTCAATAATCTCATTATGCAGAACCAGTTTGTCCTTGCAAACAACATTACCAGGACTCAGACACTGTCTCTGAGGTCACTGCTTAGTTTCCCTTGTGCTTGGCCAAAGCTTCATTTCTACAAAATTGTTTGGTTTTACTATAGCTAACAAGGGTATTTTTCTTAGGTAACTTTAAAAGTCTGGGCCTGGCCATAATGTCCAAACACTAACTGCTAAAAGGCACAGGTTTCTCTGTAGGTAGTAATATATATTTATTCAGAAATACATTTTTCCCTCTTAAAATCCAGAAAAACAGGGCTGCAGATTTAGCTCAGTGGCATAAGCACCTGCCTAGTAAGTGGAGGGTCATGAGTTTGATCCCTGGTACCAAAAATAAATAAATAAATAAAATAAAATCCAGAAAAATAGCTTGCATCCAAGCTCAAGCTCGGTATAATCACCTTTATAAACTAACAGTGTGTTAAGTATTTAGATGTGAGAGTAAGAGACAGTTTGAAACCAGTACATTTCAGTGTTTCTACTGATACTTTAAAGAAATCAAATCCCCAGGCAGACTCTCATTTTAGCAAGCCATAAAAGGGCCAAATGAACTATTGCATAAGTTGATTCTATATACTCTTGTTTGATCCTCAAACATTTAATGCCATATGTTTATGACAATGACCAAGGAATTAGGATTAATGTAACAGTTACCTAACTGCACAAATTTGTACAAAGCTGGCTTTATCTTGTGCCTTTATTAAAAAGAAAAACATAGAGGAAAATTTTTAAATGAAAGTAGGAACAAATTTTGTTTTCATTAGATGTAAAACAATCCAAACATTTGGTGGTATCTTAATCCTATCTCTACCCACAGCCTTAACTCGTGGACCACTTTAAAATCAGAAGAGGAATCTGTCTAGTCTGAGTGTACTGATTTTCTGCTGTAAATTGGTGATGTGAAAAGATAATTACTGTTCTGAAATAAAAGAATGGAGGCTATGGCTATATCACTGTCCTCTTTCACATCCCTTAAACCCACTTTGTTATGGTCGGGGTCTTTCTTTCCCCCTTTAATCTTGATTCAGTTCATTTAGGAAAGGTACAACATAGGTGATAGTTCCTTCCTGTTCTACTGCTTCTCTCCTGAGTTTGGAAAAGAATCAACATTTCAGTTTGATAAGAGCAAAAGGATGAGATTAATTTGGGAGCTAAGGAATGGGGAGAAATACATGACCTATAACTTTATTATTATCTTCATTTTCTGTTGCCGAGAATGGAACCCATGGCTCTGCCACTGAACTACTATTCCCAGCCCCACAACTTTTGATAATGCTCCCTGCCCTTGGAAATACCTGAAGATTAGCTGGGATTTGTCACAATTTGAAACACTAGAAGCTCAGAAAAACGACCTCACAGTGCAAAACATGGCACTACAACATAAGGCAGAAAGCTGTGAGGGCAGCTGTTAAAATCTCTGCATGGATCAGACGCTCCTTTTTTAAAGGTTAAAGATGATTTTTGAAGGATGATCCATTGCTCTAATGGTACATGAACAAACCTTTTTTCAGTGCTGAGTCCATATATCAAAAATTTTCAATCATGCTATTTCTAACACCTCTTCCCCTTAACTCTGAGCTTTCTCATCCCTCAATAGGAGAATGAGGTCTGAACAGCCTTCTGTACATTGTCATAAGGAAGTTTGTTACTGCTTTTCCTATTGGAGAGAAAAGCATTTGAAAAGCATGACAAAAATAAGTGATATTCTTAAAAAAGAAAATGTGAATCCTAGTGTGTGTATGTAAGATCCAGTACTAATGGATAATTAATATGTCATCCACTTGCAGATATTCTAATTAAGGCCACATCAGACAATGGTTCTGTTTCTTAGAAACTGACTGTCTATGGGTACCTCCACATTGTGAATCAGATTACCCATCTGTGTGGCTCCTGTATTCAGATACAAGGAGACAGCTGACTGGGATCTGGCTTCATTCCTGTTCAGCTTCTTTTTCTTTGCTTTCCTTCTCCAAATTCTGTAAGATTTTGTTACCTTCCCAAGACGGTACTTTGGTTTTTTTAAAAAAAAAAAAAAAAAAAAGAACAATTCCTGTCTAATTAACTTTCTCTTATTTTCTTTGAGGATTTCCTTTTAAAGTTTAAAAATAAATCATGAGACTGTTCTAATGACATAAATACAGTACTAGATCTCTGGTGCAAAATTACCTGAACAGTCTTATAAGATGGTGATTAAGTAGGTAGCTTCATGTTTTCTCTCTCTCTCTTCTTCTCCTTTTCCCTCTCTCTCACACCCAGTACCTACTTTTCACTTTCTCCTCCCATTGCACATGTACACACACACACCACACACACACACACACACACACACACAAACACACACACTTCTATTTCATTTGTGTATGTTTTCTTCCTCTTACCCTCACATAGCATTACAAAAGTGTTTAAATTACATAGTGTTTAAATTTTTGTTAAATTTATGTATTTGGTAATTGCATTTTATGATAATACAAATTGATTGACTCAATTTTGCTAAATTCCATTTTCCAGGGAATAATAATTAGGTTTTCCATCATAGCACATTTAGCAGTTAAAAAGCCACAAAACAACTGTCAACATTGACAATAATACCAACAATCCCATAAGAAATAAACGAGTTACGTTGTTCCTTACATTGTATTTTTAACTCTGTTGTACTATTTAAGCATGTAGATGCCATTTTCTTCACTTTATACTTATTTTAATTTAATTTTCATTAAAATATTAAAAATGTATGTCTTTTAAATTATTATATTGTCTCCCATATATTAGAAATGAGAGCATTAATGGAATTTTAAATGTCTTAGTTACTTGCCAAAGTGGTTAGATAAAGCCAACTGTTTTGACTTGCTAGCTTTTTATATTATCAAAAGAAATCTTGCTTAGATGATGTTTGTAATATATTTTACTTACTTATTTTGAATTAATTTTAAATGTAACAGTAAAAGTAAAGGTTAAAGTATCTTATGCATCTGGCCAATGGGCTCCATTCTAAACTTTCACACAAAATCATTGCTGTATACAAATGGCCAACAGGAAAATGATAATCTTCCAGGCATCATTCCCTCATATGTAAGCTGCAAAATGACAGAATCATTAGTCATTTTCAATTACAGTCAATCACAACCAGGGATGTTTAATTTTCCCAGCTGTTTTGTTGTTAATTAACTAGATTAAGTTGGGCGCTTTTTTTTCCTTAACAAGTTTGTTCTCTTGCCAATATCTATAGATTAACATCTCTAAGAACTTCCTAAGGGATTTTTATTTTGCCTACTAATTTTCAATATATTATAACAAATGTGGTCTGGCAGTTTATATAGTATATATAACATGCTCAATTGAATATTATTATGATTACAATAATATCTGGAGTTAATTATTGTTTTGTTGATCAAAATGTTGTTCAATCATATATTCTTGTATTTATAACAATGTTTGGATTTTGTGAATCATGTATCACGTGTAGAATCTCTTTACCTAGTATAATGTTTTTTATAATGTCAAAAATTAATAGAGGTGACAGATATAACTTGTCCCCTTAATGATCCAGTCCATTTTGACTGACTCTTTGCATGAGCAAAATGAGAGAACTGATAGAAGTAATAATATTAGAGATATTTTATGATTTATTAATACATGAGCAGGAGGTTTTTTTCAATTCAAATTTGCTTTATAATTGAGGAGAAGATCTTAGAATACAAGAGATTAACTAATTACTAATCACCAGTTTGAACATGAAGAGAGCCCTGTTTTCACACTTTGAAGGTAAAATTTGTATGAGACTTGAGAAAATTATTCAAGTAAACTTTTAATGATATGGATAAGATTGTCAAATGTCTAATTTAATTTCTTAATTGTGTAGTACATTCATTTTTGCTATCTTGCATTTTACACAATAACCCATTCATTTACAAGTATTTCTCTTGCCATGTTTACTTTTAATGAAACAACTTCATACAAAATTTTTGTGTATACATTCCAGAATTCCATAACTCAACCTCTGTCTTCTAAATGATTTTCAGTATGGTGCTGTTGGCCTCCCCTATGCTGCTACTAA